TACATAAGTATTAATTGTTGTTGTCAAACTGACTGGTATGTTTTAGCTAATGTAACTTAAATTAATATGTTTATGACATTTGTATATGGATGGGCCAATGCGAATAAGCCCTAAAAATACACATTTTAAACTGTAAATGTAGCAAACCTTGGCAAAATGTGTTAGGTTTGACAAAATTACAGTTTGAAATGTGTATTTATAGGGCTTATTCAGCATTGGCATATACATATAATTATACCTTATTATTTATAAATTTATTCTGAATTAAAACATTTTTAAAAAATTTAAAACCAATTCTGTATTAAAAATAATTAAATAATTAATAGTAGTTTATAAATAATAACATAATGTCTAATTTCATTGTAATAGATTAAGATAGTTTTACTTGAATAATTCTATTTAAATTTATATATAGCTTTATGGATAAATAGTCAATGAAAATCAATTTTTAAAATGTTATAAACACCATGTCAAACTAAAAATATCACTTATATTTACAGATTTATACGTGAAAATTACTTTATAACACACTAATAACTTATTGAATCTATTAAAATTTTAGATGCAGTTTACTGCTAACAAAGGTTTGAGTGTACTGGCTCCAAAATTAAACTAGTACTGTCTCTGGGGGACATCACTGTAGTTAACATTCGAATTGTACCTTGTCTCCCACGGTGTATGATCATCTACAGTTCGCAAATTATTTTCAGTGTAAAAGCTTATATGGTTAGCGAGTAGCAGTATAAAGTCAACCAGGTCATTGCGGACGGCGTAGTCAAAGTTATCAGGCTCGCCGATTAATTTGTTCATTGAATCTATAAACTCATCCTGACCAGTTGACCATTCCTTGAACCAGGTAAAGTTAGCATCGTCAAAACATTTAAACATTTCGGACAACTCGTGGTAATTTTCAGCTGATGGTACTAGCTCGTCGGGTAGGTTAGCATGATCAGAATTAAAAGTTAGTGCCAACACTAACAATGAAATATGAATCATGGTTGAAATTGCCATAGTACTTATATTACTAGATTAGAAATTTACCATTATTTATTTAATATATTTAATAAATCTACATGTGAGCTGACTCCTTTTATACTATAGTTATTCTGTAGACTTTAAAATACATAAATATGTTTGAAATCTATATTTACATAAGTATTAATTGTTGTTGTCAAACTGACTGGTATGTTTTAGCTAATGTAACTTAAATT